GGGTTGTTAACCAGTGGACTTTACCCATGATGGGATCAGTTGTCCAGATACATTTTATATCACAACCCTTGGTGGGTCAAGCAAACCCTACAACAGGGTAGCTTGTCTGAAAACAAGCAAGCCAATTACACAATAAAACAAGCCAGTGAATAAAAATGACTGGGTTCAGATGACACAACAACCAACCTTGGTTTGCTGCCAATGTTAGGCTGTCATGTGAACCAGGTGAGTGTGCATGTTCCTTTTTGTCAATAATCAACACTCCAAACAATATGTTTAATGTTGGTAAAGCAAAGTATCCCACCTTTAAGGATTCAGTTAGTTCATCAGACTCTGAACCTTCATGACCATTAGGCACCAGAAAATGTGGTCTAGGATCCAAATAAACATGGCAATGTTATTAATGTTTTTACATTAGAAACCCAGTTTTCTTCAGACCAGGATATGTAGATTCACCAGTCATTTATATTAGGTAAATTCTAGCACAGCACTGGGCTATCAGACCAGAGAAGACTGATTTGCATAGTTTTGATATACTATGGAGCACAGAATACAAAAAAAATACAACCATATGACCAGACGCCTATACAAATTCCAGTTTCATGCATCCTATTTAGTGATATGAAAACAGAAACTTTGCTGAGATTTTTTGGACAAATTCAGGAGAGATTTTCTCATGGGACCACGTTTCATTCATTTAAAAAATCACATCTATTTTTATTTCTACTTCACCATCTAGGAGCAATGTGTTTTATAGTTTCTCTGGAAGTAAGGAAATGCTAAAAAGACACTACTACAAGAATAGTTTTTCAAAGATAAAACTGCATTTTAAAATAGTATCTTAATTGCTACTTAGAAACATAGAAACATAGCAAGTTAGAAGGGGTCTCTTGGGCCATCTAGTCAGACCCCCGGTTCCAGCCAGCTCTGGTCACGACATGCCCACCATGTGCATGTCCAGCCTATCTTTGAACACCCTCACCAATGGGGCCTCAACAACCTCCCGTGGAAGCCCATTCCATACCCTCGGGGTCCTAACTGTCAGGAAGTGCTTCCTGGCATCCAAATGGAACCTTGGTTCCCTGAGCTGTGCTCCACTGGAGCGTGTCCAGCCTTCCTCTACTTAATTATTTTAAGACAAGCAACACAGACTCTAAGTTCACCTAGGAATATTAGCAAAGCAATATAAAAATACCAACAAAAAGAAAATTTTACAGTTTAAACATGTATTTACTGCATATTATGTTTGTCACCATCTATAGAAATGGTGGCAAACTGACTATAGGACGAATCTCTAGTCAGTCTCAATTCTCCAGTAAGTGTCCTACTGTGTAAGTGTACACTTACAATGCAGCACACACCTTGTCTTATAAGCCAGTGAAACCCTGAAAATCTTAAGAAGCCTATCAGGTTCCTCTATGAGAAGGTCAACAAGAGAGGCCAAGTTTTCCTGAAAAGGAGCTTGTCCATTACCAATGGCCTCCCACTACAGTGCATAGTCAGAGGGGAGTGCTGGAAGGTTCTGCAGTAGCTCAAAGGGTCATGTGGGGCAACAATGAGGACAAACATGCCTGCAGTTCCCCACATGAAATGAATGAAACACATCTGAGAATCATGTTTGTGTACTGCTCCCTCCCTTTTGGCATGACTGCAACAAGATTGGAAGCTTTTGCATCCAATTGAAGCCACATAGTTATGTCTGGACAAACTCTGTCTAGCCTTTTAACACTGCTCTACTGAAATAATCCAACTTCCAACTCAGTTTATGGAGTTGGTGTGTTTCTATAAACAATAGTTAAAAGAGTAATCACAGTTTGGGGTTTGGACATTGCACTGAACTCTATGTTAATGGGAATACAAGTGAAAACTTCCACTCCTTGCTGCTGTGTCAGACAAGACGGTATCATAAAAGACCAAGTTTAATACAATGTTAAACTAAGGTGTTGTTTCCATCCAAGTCAATATGTACTGTAACTAATTTCCAGAATCCCCTGAATTGTACTTGCGTTTTTCTGCAAACAGAATCCTGTTGGCAAGGCAGAAAGTTGGAAATATTGGAATCAGACTTAGGTACACTTAAAAGTGGATCCATTGAACCAATGAGATTTAAGTTAGTCATGAGCTAAGTCTATATCCAGTCCTTTGTTATAATTACTGCTCCAATTCTGAAAACTTCTGCAATCCACTGATGGAGCTCTTCTAAAGGCAAAGGCTTCTCTACCACATTCAAGTGAAGAAGTCCAGCACAAACAATATATGGCCTCTTTGTGTAAATTGCAGCCAATATAGGACTATGGGTTGGAACAAGTGTTTGCAAATTTCTGAGATTTATGGAAGCATGTTTCCATGATGGGAAGGTGTCCACATCCTATTAATGACATCCCATTAATGACTAATTAATCCTATTAATGACTGACCTTTGTATGTAGCATAAGGCACCTCCAGTTAAAGTCTCAATTTGCGAATAAGGATGGTTTCATTTATTCAATCACTTCTAGTGTGAATTCTAGTAAGGAAGAACATACTCACAAATGTCTCTCTTATCACCAGTAATATACTACTAGTAACACTCTTCCTATCATTTCATTTATTGCTTTGGAACTCTATAGACACTGTACTAATATGGCAAGTGTTCTTTCCTGTTTGTCCACAAGCTGCAATATTTACCCTGTCATATCTAAAGTGCTGCAGGGTAGTATTGCCTACTGTGATCTCTACATAACCAGGAGCTATTCCATTTTATTCCACAGCAAGGAACACTCACTGCATATCTCAACAGTTGCTGTAGAGTGCTTCCTAGCTGTGATGGAAACAGAGCAAGTGCTGATTATGAAAAGTTCTACATGTGTACTGGAACCCTACAGCACACACCGGAAGACCAGGCGGGATTAAGGCCATTTTGTAAAAGCTCCCTATCTTTCTTTTCCTAGCAACAAAAGAAAGCAGTAGCATAGTTGTGTGTTAATTCTATAATGTCATTCTTTTAACTTCCCTGGGGCTTTATTTATTTCATTTCTATACCATCCCACAGCTAAAGCTCTCTGGGTTGTTTACAGCACTGCTGAAAACAATAATCCAAAATTTAATTTTCTTTTTAAGCTTCAATCTTCTTTATTGTGAAGAAGAAGCTTGACATCAGGTAGTTATTTGTATTGTAGTCAAAACTAAATTTAAACATGACCAAATCAAAACCTACTATAATTATGTTCTGAAATCTCATTACTTCAGAATCTATATAAGGATGTTGAAATGATCAATGTCAAAAAGATTTCCCGAAAATGAAATGCAGCATGAAGAACACAGAGATGACTTGCAACTAAATTCTGAAGGGACTTCCAATAATAAAGCTTTACAATAAACTTGAATTTAACCTGGTGTGATTTCAAGCCAGTTTAATTAATGATTATCACAAAACATGGTGTACTCTGATGCCAACACTGGAATCAAACTGCCTAATAGCATGTCGGAAGCATACAAGTCAAATAAATAAATAAATATTTGTATGCCAGACATTGGCCTTCACATTGCTGATCAAGACTTAATGCATATTGCATCTGCCAGGCTGAATAGAAACACAAGTCATTTCCTCTAGTTTCAATTATCATTCTAAATTTCTTTCTGATACCTTTTCAAAACAAGTTTTTAAGCCCCAGAGTATTTGGGATGCCTATAATGATTGGTTGGTTGAATGTCTTATTCTCCAGATTAACACAATTGTATGTCTTTCCTAAAGAAGTGAGCTCACTTCTTTAGAATCAGAAAAAGAAATCAAAAGGCCATGAAGATGACTCCACAGTTCCACATGTTGTTGCAACCTGAAACTGATTTTATAAACAATCAGTTTACAACTAGAGATAGGTGAATCTTTTGAGCTTATTTCCGTTCAGTTTCTTGGGTTCCCAACATTAAGCCAAACAAAACATTTACCCATCCCAATTTACAGTCACCCACACTGAAGACAGATGAACACTATACTGCCTATAAGATTATGCTGTAGCCTCAAACCTTCAACATCTTGTAATGACATTTGCCAGTCCCTATAACACCATACATTTCCTAAAGTATGCTCTAGTGTAATCTACACGATTGGGTGACATGTTATTAATACACACCAGCTTGTATTAATGAACATGCATACTGTTGGTGGTATACAAATAGCCTCATAAACTATATCCACTTTCAGTAACATACATTAAACTTCTCACCTTATTTACATTAATTGAAAGGGTAAAAACAAAAACAAAACACAGTGGAGCGAGGGAACAACCTCCTCAACCACCTTACCTGTGAGTAAAGTCAAAAGTTATTAAATAATTAAGAATGCAATCTTAAGCACTAGAGAGTAAATCCCACTGGATAGAATGAAGCTTGCTATGGAGTCAACATGCATAAGATGGCACAATAAGTATAAGCTCAGAGCCTCAGACACGCATATTTATCGCTGGATGCCATTTAAGCAACTTCCCACGTAGGGAACCACCACCAGCACCTATCAAATCCAACACAGTGACCTTCCACACTACGCAAAAACGATAGGGACAGGTCTACTGCGAGCCATGGGAGCACATGTACGAATGCCAGTCCAATCCAAACACCCTTCCTTAAAAGTGAGCTCTTCCAATTTCAAAAGGGCTTGCACCCATGTGGGCTGCAGACCCAATTAAAAGCATAAATGGTAAAAGTGTGCCTTCGGGTGAAATCACTCCGAACTAATATCTCCGAAATAAAATCGGAGTACCTGGGACCCAGCAGGCCTCACCGGTGTAACCTCAGGCTTTACCTTGTCCCACGGCCCCCTTCCCCACGTGCACTACTGGGTCTTGGGCAGGCCCACGGCTGCGGCCCCAGTCTCCCTGGAAGGGCTCTTCCCTGCTGTCCTGCCTGCCACTGTCTGCCTGTCAGAGCCCGGGAGCCTCCCACCGCTGGCCCTCCGCTTCCCGCTTCCCTCACTCCTCTGCCCCGTCCCAGCTTGCCTGCCGGGCCGGCTCCGCCACACTCACCACCGCAGCCAGAAGCGAAGCCGGTGACCGAATCTGCGCGTGTGCCGAGGGGCCCCGTAGCCGGCCTGCTGTACTTCCAGTCTCGGGCCGACAGGCGGGCCGGCCAGCCCCACGGAGCCAATGAGCGGGGCCCAAGTCGCTCGGAGCCCCCACCCCTCCTCCTCCCCCGCCCTCCTACCCAACCCCGCCCGACCCTTCCGCTTCGAGCTGGCGCACCTCACAATCGCCGCCGCGGACGAGTATCCTCATTCCGTATGCCGCGGCGGCGAATTCTCATTGGCTCGCGCAGGGTGGCGCGCGAGGGGCTGGCTGTGTTACGTTCTAAAACGGCTGTCTCGCTGAGAGGTGGGAGAAGCGCGCGCGAGTTGTACAAGGGTTACTATCGGTCACTCCTTGCTTGGGGTCACAGGCGGCTGCGGTAGAAGAGGAGACGAGGGAGGAGACTGCCGCCGGCACCGCCGCTGCTTCTTGGGGACGGCACCAGAGTCCCGTGGCGGCGGCGGCGGCAGCAGCAGCAGTTTATTCTGCTTAAGGGAAAGGGAGGCTCTGAATGCAAATAGATATGCGCGCGTGCACACACACGCACACACACACACACACAGAGTTCATCCTACAAACAAACGCAACAGTACTGGGCATATTATAATATATATTTAACGCATTAGGGTATGCTATTGATACTAGCAATTGTTACGGTTTAACTTCTTCATGTATGGTTTCTGATCTTACGTGATTATTACCTAAATAAATGGTTACTGCGAAATGTGCAGATCAGTGTGTCTGGCGGCTCATGCCCCGCTTTTTCGACATCGGAGCTATTATTGATTACGTAAGAACGTGAGCTGCGCGTCTTCGCTTCAATCGCTGTGCGTGCTGCGGGGAAACCATGAATGGGAACACAGGAAGCTCAGCGTCAGTGGTTCCTCCGATTTAAAGGAACGGTGCAGCTCTAAAGGGGATATCCCTCTTGCACACTTTATAACTGGTCTTGTGGCACCATATAGAGAAGCACATTTATTTTGCCACAAACATTTCACGGACTAGAGATGCACTGAGTATTATGTCAGTGTGGACTGGACTGGGTTCTAGTCCCCATTGGCCATGAAACTCATTGGGTGACTTTGGGGCAATCATGAATTCTCAGCCTAACTTACCTCAAAGGTTGTGAGAATAAAATAGAAAAGAGGTGGACCATGTAAACCACCTTGGGTCCTTTGTAATATGTAAAAGTGTGAGCTATAAAAATAAAAATAACAATCCATTTGCAGTTATGCAGAGTGTCAGGTTCATATGTAGTAAGGCCATGACTAAACAGTGCAGTCAAAAAGAAATTAAATTCATAGAAGACTGACAGTGGCAGTGCTTTCTGACATCAATATTTCCAAGCAACACTTTCCTTTTAACTTCACTGTTTACAATTCTTCTTTCCTGCACACCTGCAACATACGTATTGTGTATAAACCTCAACCTCTCCATAATGCTCCATGCATTGGATAAAGTCTATGGAAGTGTATGTCCGAATAAGGATTCAGTCCTATGCTTGTTTAGACAGAATTGAAGTCCTATAGCTCCCAGCATGCTCTAGCCAGCTGAAGGGCATGCAGGGAGCTATAGGAATTTTCTTTGTTTAAACATACATGGCTGCAGCCCTATGGAAGGTAGACTAAATAGGATAATAACTCTGCAATTGGAAGCAAAGCACACGAATATGACCCTGAGTACATTTATAGAGCAGTTAAGGACACCAATTTTAAATTATTCTGCTTAATTCCTAATTCTACCCATGTTTACTTGGAAGTGAACTCCAATTCTTCCGGTGGGCTCCATTCCCAGACAAGTGTATTTAGGGCTGTAGCCTTAGGTACAATGACATTAAATGCACTGATAGGAGGTGCAGCCTGTATCCGGTAAGTGCGCTGACCCAACAACACTGTCAAAATGATTCAGCAGGGATCACTCTCACAACGGACTTCCAAATGAAGGCTCCTAGCATTTACTTCCCCCAGGTATTGTGCAGCAATTCTGATTTTTCCTCCTTAATGGTGTTTGGTTTGGTTTGGTTTTCCCCCATCCCCTCTGTTAGATGGAAGAAGCAGTGAGAAAACATGTAAGAGCCTGAGGATGATACCATCTGGACCTCCATCCCCATAACATTACATGAATGCAGCAGCCCAGTTGCACAATAAAAGCTTTGTGTGGAAGCACCAGAGAGCATTTTCTGCAGATACTGTACACAACATCTGACTTTTGTGGGTACCTACAAACTTTTGGATTTGCACAAGAGGCCTCAATAGCCTCTGCAGGAAATCACTATCTGAATGGGCTTCAAAACTTCCTAATCTTAATTTTTAAAAAGGCACATTGTAGAACTCCCCATTCCCAGAACCACCACAATATATCTAAACAGGAATAAAAAATAGCTTCAGAGGCTGTTTTCAAAGAAAAACCAAATACCAGTATCGAAGAAGGCAATGTATTTCCCTGGGAAGGGAGTTCCAAAGGTGCAGAACACCATTAAGACAGTTTTGTTCCTAGTAGCTGTGGTGGCAGGTCTCCGCTGTTTATTAGAATAGTGATGCCTACTGCAAAATATGGGACAGTTGCAATCATCAAGTATTTTTATTTATTTTATTTATTAGGGTATTTCTAACCCATCCATTATGGTTCCTCCGTGGACGGCTTACAGTGTAAAACACCTAATAAACACGTCATCATAAGTACATGTGTTTGGGAGCTCTGATTGGGCTGAACTCAATTCTCGCCATCCCATTCATGTACATAAATGTTTGAGGACGCGTGTTTGTCATTTTTTGCTATAAGTAACCCCTCTGTACCTTTAGCAAACAGCTGTCATGTAGAAAACCACTTTCAGTAGTTTTTCTTTTTTTCAATGCCTATGTTAGCTTACAACATAATCCAATCACAACAGCAAAAATAACAAAACAATGCAGAAATAAAATATGCCAACGTGTGAAGCAAATAGATACACAATCAAATGACAAATACCACTAACCATGGATATAACAAATACAACACTTTGCACCTCAGAAATTAATTTGCTCCTTCTAAATTCATACTTTGCCATAAAAAAACCCTTAAACACCAGTATGATTCTGTACAGCAGTAGTGCAGAATCTCATGCATGGATACCAAATCTAGCCCTCCAGGGATTCCCAGAAGGCCAGGTCCCCTTTTGTAGGGCCCAAACATTTCCCTAATTACCAATCCTTTAGTAATCTTTCTGGCTTTTTATAGCCCTCCTCGTGCTGCTGGCTCTAAAAGGCTTGAGATGCTTCTGCTAAGGCTTAGTTATTAGTTATTGGCAGTACAAGCATTAAGCTAACATACACTGGTAGTTTTGGCATTCTGGCTATATTTGCTTTGGCCTTGGTTGCCACTGGAATGGGACCTGGGAGAGATTTCCTGAAATGGAATTCAGTTCTCAAGGTGAATGAAGTTCTGCACTTCTACTATGCATCTAAAATTCGGTTCCAAAGTATCTACAAAAAGCTCTCTCCCTTTTGTCTCTTTAGAGATGGTCTTTGTGGGGTGGAGGGGCAGAGAAAATAACTGCAGAGGGAGCAGCAATCAAAAGGGTAGTTAATATGTAACAACAATCAGAGTAAAATCAGCAGACTGGGTAAAGTCAACAGATAGGATAAAATGAGCAGACGAGTAAAGTCAACATGTCAAGTAACTCTTAAGTGGGACCATTCTGACAAGTGAAGTAACTATTAATTGTCATTGCAGCTTAGTCAGTGGCTTATTTGCATAGCTCTAAGGACAAGGGGCAAGAGGCTGGAAAAGGTTTCTTCAATGACCTGACCCAGATAGCTGGAGGTGCCAGTAGATCACTGGGATGAAGAGGATATAAAGAATGCTGCAGCGCCTGTTGAAATTTTCTGGACATGGACATGGAGCCAATTGTCAGGATGCTAGTAGGCAGAAATATAAAAGAGCAGGCTTGAAAGCATTATGTGGTGTGGCGCAGTGGTTAGACTCCAGTCTCCTGGGACAAAGTGCATTTACCCACAGTGTACCTTCCTCACTGGGTAAGGTGCTGTGTAAGCAAGTCTGCCCTGGCGTTGCCTGCACAGTGCCTTTCCCCTCTGGGAGTGGCTTTGCTCCATGTGCGCTTTCCCCAGCTGAGTGGGGAAGAACACAGTTCACACAAAGCATGGCCATTAACCTTGACATGTTCCAGATGACAAGGGGCCAGAGGGCTCATTTGCCCCTCCCCAAAGAAGTATTTCCCATCCCTGGTTTCAGAGATAAGAACCAGAACTGGGAATCCAGTAATGATGCTCACTGGGTGATCCTGGGCCAGTCACTATCTCTCAGCCTGCTCTACCTTACAGTGTTGCCCTTTCTTTTATTAATAACATAACTTATTTATTAACAATATCCATATACCATTTGAAACAAATCCTGGTTTACAAAACTAAAAAGATAGAACGAACCCCAAAAAAGCTCCCCCCCTGCCCCCCGCCACACACAGTGGTATCATGAAGATAGTACAAGGATAGCTGGAGGAAAGGCAAAGCAAGCGCATATGTTTTCAATGAACAACAAAAACACACCAGCATTGAGGCCTGACCTGCCTCAAGAGGATGGTTGTTCCACAGGTGGGTGCTACTGCAGAGGGGGCCTATCTGCATGACACCACCAATAGAAAACCATACGCTGCCTTCTATAGAAGATATAGGTATTTAAGCAACTGTTATTCTGTAGATAACAAAGAGCAGACCTGGGCATTGTACGGCCCGCGGGCCACATCTGGCCCGATGGCTGACCCTGACTGGCCTGCATGAGGTCACTGGCAAATTAAAAGTCAATGCAAATATATATCGTTGTAATATAGATGCAAGCAATACAACTGCACTGCTTTTATTTTGAAGGATCTGCTAAATTGAATTGAATTTATTGCTTTTCGTGTAATGTTAATGTTAATGTTTTTGTGAATATTCATTAAATAGTGTTGTTCTGTGCTCCACATTTTCATTGTATCATTGTAATGTTTCATTTACTGTTTTTACAGAGATATATATTGAGCAGAGCTGTAAGTGTATTGGTCCGGCCCTTAACAACTGTCAAAGTTTCTCATGTGGCCCCATAGGAAAATTAATTGCCCACCCCTGACAAAGGGCAAACTGCAAGTAGCCTTTGAAACCTTTTATCTACAGGATTGGTCTCAGAGAGTGATGCTAAGGGAGCACACTTTGGCCCCTGGAATGCCATATGGCACTATTCTGTTACCAGTTTATTTAGAATCTTTATGAAGATGCTGAGAGTGATCTTCTAGGGATTTGGAACAAGATATCTTCAGTATGTGAATGACACCATTT